CACCCCCTCCCTTACCCTGTACCCCAACCTCCTTACCCAGATCACAACCCCCTCCTTCACTCTGCACCCAACCTCCATCCTAGACCCTGCACCCCCTCCACGGAAAAGTGCGGCCCTTGATTACTTACCAAAACCTTGGAGTGCCCCCCCCACCAAAAATTATTGCCCACCCCTGTCCTAATGGGATATATCCTATCAAGTGCTAGCAGTGCCTCCCTCCGCCATGAATATTGGCCAAACCAGACAGTTTCTACAAAAAAGGATACAAACTCATACATCAGAAATGGTAGCACACAAACCTGTAGGGGAACATTTTAACCGGCCTAGACACTCAATCATGGATTTAAAAGTAGCCTTTCTTCTACAATGAAATTTCACCAACTAATGACAAAGAGAGCCTAGAGCTGGAATTCATCTCAGTTACCCTGGTCTTGAACAAAGACATGAACTAGTTGGTGCATTACAAAAGCAATTCTCCTGCCTTTAATTTCCACATAAAAAGCTATGTATGAGACAAATCCAGCCCACTTAATTAGCCTCATTGACACAGGTACTACAATTGACAAGTACTACTTCTGCTGTTATCTTTTTGGTTTCTGTTATTTCCATTCCAATTCATCTGATGAAGTGGGTTCTGCCCATGAAAGCTCATGATTCTATGTATTTTGGTTCGTCTCTAAGATGCCACAGGACTATTCATTATACTTACTTTGGGGTGTCCAAAAAAGGTTTTACCTGCCTTTGGACACGTGTATAGTTTTTTGCTTATTAAAATTTCCACTAAAGTTATAGATCAAATTAATTATGATATTGTGACTATGTGGTCAGTCCAGGATCGGGGAAAATCTGTTGTTTTTTCTCTTCAAAAGATTTGTTTTGTCAGCTTGCAGGCCTGCCAGTGCATATTTGTAAATAAAACCAGTAAGAGTATCTCAAACCATGAATCAGAAATGTTTGCGTAAATAAAAATTACTATGACTGAACCAGAAACTTTCCAAAAGCCTTATGTAAACGGATGGGGTTAATTTATTTTCAGTACAGGCAGTTCCCGGGTTACGTACAAGATAGGGACTGTAGGTTTGTTCTTAAGTTGAATTTGTACGTAAGTCGGAACTGGCGTCCAGATTCAGCCTGTTGAAACTGATCAGCGGCTGATTCCAGGAAGCCCGGGGCAGAGCAGACCAGGGAGACGCGGAGCAGCTTTTCTCGCCCCGGAGGACGCGGGCAGCGGGACCGCGGCACATCTGGGCACCCTGCCACTCCCGTCCTCCGGGGCGAGAAAAGCTGCTCCGCGTCTCCCTGGTCTGCTCTGCCCCGGGCTTCCTGGAATCAGCCGCTGATCAGTTTCAGCAATAGCTGACTTGGGGATGCCTGGGGTTCTTAAGTTGAATCTGTATGTAAGTCGGAACTGGCGTCCAGATTCAGTCACTGCTGAAACTGACTAGCGGCTGACTACAGGAAGCCCGAGGCAGAGTTGCTCTGCCCCGGAGGACGCGGGCAGCGGGACCGCGGCACATCTGGGCACCCTGCCACTCCCGTCCTCCGGGGCGAGAAAAACCCCGTTCGTAACTGCGGATCCGACTTAAGTCGGATCCGCGTAACCCAGGGACTGCCTGTACTTATATGGGAAATAGCTTATTAAAGGAGGGAAAAAAGGCCACATCACGGTTCTTTGGTAGTCAAAAGAGAGAGTATCTGTTAAGGAGGGAGGGGCCTATTCAAATATTCTCTATAAAAGGTTTTTCTTCACATTAAAGCGCTGTTGCAGCAGCACTTTAAAGTGGCAGTGTGGCCACAGTAAAGCGCTGAGAGAGCTCTCCCAGTGCTCTAGGTCAGATGTGACCAACCTGAGCCTGAGAAGGAGCCACAGTTTACCAATGAACATTGCCAAAGAGCTACAGTAATTTGTCAGCAGTCTTCATCAAGTGCCTCCTCTCCCATCTCCAGCATCTTTTGCCCACCAGCAGCCCCACTGATCAGCACTTCCTCTTCCTGCCCTGTGCCTCCTGCCCATTGCAATCAGCTGTTTCATGGCACTCAGGAGGCTCTGTGGGGGAGGGAAGGAGTGAGGGCACAATATGCTTGGAGGAAGAAGTGGAGCCAGAAGTGGAGCACTGGAAATTTGGCATGTCATTACAGCCCTGGAGTCTGTGCCTGAGCAAGCCACCACATATTAACTTTAGAAGAACCACATGTGGCTCTAGAGCAGTGATTCCCAATCTTTTCCAGATGGGGACCCATTTTGACAATTCAGGAAGACTAGGTGACCCAGGGCAATTCAAAAAATGTGTAAGTGGCTCCTTAAGAGCCACCCGGTGACCCTTTTGAAATGTAATGGCGACCCATATTTGGGTCTTGACCCATAGGTTGGGAAACCCTGCTCTAGGTAAACTACCTTTACAAAAGCGGTATCTATGGTGGCTGTAAAGTGCCAGTATGAGCCAGGCTACAGCACTGGGAGCCACTGCTAACTTGCTGCACTTGGGGTTCACATCCCTGAGCAAGACAGTTACAGCACAGTAACTTGCTGGTGTAAACAAGCCTAAAATATGGGTTGTTATTAAGTATTTCCTTGGCTATGCAAGACTTGATCATGACACACAATTCAGAACTTTTTCCTTAGATGACCTCACAACCCTCAAACAAAAAAAAACTGTGAATCAATACATGAAAGATGTTTGAATAATCAACATGCAAATAATCAGAAAGAATTCTGAAAACATGGGATTTTTTGTCATCCTTTCTTACCTCTTCCCTACTCCTAACCCCCTCCCCCCCACACACATAGTTTCTCCCCCAGGCACTTCCTCCAGAGTAGAAGAATGTCACATAACAAGCACAGTTGAATGTACTGTACAAGATTGCCAAGCAGAGGATGCTGTAAAGCTTATTTGGAGAGTAGATACATTTTCCAAGACTAACTGAGCTTTAGACATATCCCTAATATATCATTGAATCTGAACCATTGACCTTGCCAAAACCCCTTTAGTCACTGCTGTAATCTGCTGCCCCCAGGGACCTGGCAAACCACTGTGTAACAACAAACATGGAATTTTAGCCATGAACACGCAGCATAGACACTGGCAATATCCAACCAGTCATAGATCTCGGGAAAGGGAAGCTCAAGTCCTACTGTATTTTAATTATTATTGTATAGTTACTAATATGGCATTTTAATGGTTCTAATGTTTAATACAGAGTACAAAGTGCTTCACTAATGTTCTTAAGAAATTGGGGAAAATTCCTCCAAAAGATTACTAGCCAACTGATTCCATGCTATGGGAAATCTTCAGCTACTCTGTGTCAATGCTACCAATGTCTTAATTCAGTTGTAACAGTAAGTTTTGAACCTCAAAAAATACAGTCTGTAAAAATCAGGCATTTCCTCCCAGTCTACCCAATTTGAAAATGAGCCAAACAAACTATTAAGAAAAGACAACATCAAATCCCTGTTTGCTTGTTCTAATCAGTCATGGTTCAAACATGTATGTGTAGCTAAAACTAAAAATAGAACAAAACACCTGTAATTGATCACTATTCCTTTGTTCTATATGTCGTAGATTCTTTACATTTGAACAATTCCATTAAATATTTGAAATCATTGTGGTATTTGAGAACTTTATGCTCTGAGAGGTCTTTCTTACAGTGTGCAATATGTCCCCAAAAGTCCCACCAGTTAAGTGCATTTACTCAATTACTAAAACAAGTAAACCAGGGGCGGGGAACCTTTTTTGGGTCTAGGGCTGCTGACCTACAGAAAAATCAGTTGGGGGCTGCACACAAGTGAGAAGCAAAAAACAAAACAAAAACAAAGCAAAAACAAAACAAAAACAAAAAACCCCTCAAAAACAAACCCCTCACTGATGTAGCCCCCAATTGAGGAGAAAGACACTCCCCACATTCCCTTTGCCCACTAGAGCCTGGAGGGAGGGGCAGCCTAGTAAATGTTGTATGCTCCAGTCCTGTGGTGGGGCAGCAGAGGGGCTGGAGCACCAGTGCAGGCTCCCAAATGCTGGGGAGGTTCTGAGCCTCGGGGGCTGGATCCAGGCAAGGTGGGGGCCACATTCGGCCCCTGGGCCTAAGGTTCCCCACCCCTGAAGTAAGCAGTCTCACAGTGGAACAACCAAGGTCTGAGTTTAAGAGCCAAATTCATGATCAACATTGCCCAAAAAAGCCACAATAGTGCTAATGCATAGTTTTATTTACATTAGGAATATATATTCATATTTAAACAGTATGACAAGAGAAATATTCAGCATTTTCTGTATTATTTACCCAGCAAAATAACTGACCATTATTATGTCAATTACAATGGTTAAAAGCATCCTGACTGATTAATAATTAATTCACACAATGGTTAATAGCATGCGTTTCAAAGAGCCATGGGGGGGGGGGGGCACTTTAAAAAGCCACTTATGGCTCACAAACCTGAGTCTGAGTATCACTGCTCTAGGGGAAGGAATTGATGCTCACAAATTCCTGACTTTTAATCTCGGCTCTACCAATGACTCAAAGTTCAACAGTAAGTAATCTTTTTTCTGACTCCATTTCCCCCTCTGAAAAATAGCAATAGCACTTACACACCACACACAGCGTTCTGAATTACTGAATAATCGCACAAAGCTTTGGAAATGAAATCTGCTATTATTAGTTACATTCGCTTCCTCAGAATTGGCTATGGCTACACTGGAGAGCTTAGAGTAGAGCGGCCATAAACTCTCTCAGGTAGCCACTCTAAGCCAACATATTCCATCCAGTCTCCATGAGTGACAATAGCTATGTTGGTGCTAAAAGCTCTCCCATAGACATAGCGCTCTCCACACTGGTGCTTATATCAGTGTATCTTATGTCACTCAGGTTTTCACACACTACTGAGCAACATAAATTATACCAACATTAATTGTAGCATAGACACAGAAGGAAAGACAGCATTAGTTTTGATAGCAACAAAACGAGGCAAGTAGTACTTTCAGGGCAAGTACATAAGCAAACACACTCACCTTAGTCTAGATATCTCCAGCCTCAAGACAACAATGTAAATGTCCTCCACCTTTGTACTCACTATACATTTTTAGCACTCTAGCTTCCTGAAACTTGAATCTTAGAGGATTACCTAGTTTCAGACACATGAATCAGCAGCAATTATTTATAGCTCTATGTAAAAGCAAGTATTTTATGAGGAAGGATAAGGAAGTATAAAATAAAACATAAGTAAACAAGCTAAATGGTAAATGATGCAGAAGCATGGCCCGAAACAATAAGTCATAACTAAACAAAATACGCAATTAAGAGTTAGCATTACATTACAGCTCGAAAAGTTATCACAGAATGGTTACTTTAGATAGGTCTACAAAACAGAGCTTCCAACGACACAGCTGTACCACTGCAGTGGTGCCATTGTAAGATCTCTTGGGAAGCCACTCTATGTCAATGTGAAAGCACTCTCCCATATTCATAATTAAACTACCCACAATGAGCAGCATTAGCTTTGTCAGCCCAAGAAGCTCTCATGCTGAAAAGTACTAGCCACACTACCACTTATGACAACATAATTTATGTTTCTCAGGGGGAGGGGAGTTTTGCCAATATAACTGGTAGGGTAAATATGCCCTTACCTAGCAATGTACATTGCAGTCCATTAAAATCTCCACATTATTATTTGTTAGTATAGTAATTCCAGCGGATCCTGAGCCAATTGTGCTAGACATTACATACATAAGAGAATCACTGCCCCCAAAATTAAAATGTAATGGGAGAAAAAAAACAGAATTCCCATTTCACAGATGGAGAAGTGGGGCACAGGCAGATTAAGAGACTTGTCCAAATTCACATAGAAAGCAGTAGTACAATTCTATTGCAAAGCTTTATCTTTGAAATGATATACTGTACTATACTTTATAGCCCTTTTGTTATGGATACCACAAATCATCCATCCCTTTTATCAGTTCCCATAACTCAATTGTGATCACCTCCAGCTTGTCAATAGCATGCATGTAAACAAGATTACTGAAGAATTTTAGCAGGGTGGGAAAGGAGAAAACAACAGGGAAATGAATTGTTTTACAGATTCTCTTTGTGTGGTCTTATCACACATTGCCTAGTCCTTCCTACCCGGAGAAGATGTAGGGAGCAAGGGCAATATGCCTACTTAACAAGCAATACCTATTAGACTAATACACTTGTGTGTAAACATGTTTTGTAATACAATTGTTAAAATATTCCAATTACTTTTCAAAAAGTATTTAATTTCGATAATCCATGCTCATTTGAGCTCTTGAACTGTATGTTCATCAAAATATTGACATCTTTGATTTCACCAGGGAAATATTACCAAATGCTTCTGTTACAATGTCCAAACA